CAGAATCCTATTCAGACTTGAGGCCCTCTTCATCATGTCGACACTTCCCAGCTCATCCCCTCATTCCAGCTGGCTCTTTCCCGGGGACAAAATGAACACCTCCCTTTTCTGTTCAGCTGTGGGGTGACTCCTATCCCTCTTGCAACATCTATCACAAGCCTGTGTTCCCTACTATTTGTGAGCTACTTACACAAGCCGGTCCTCTTCTGCTGCTGGCTTCTGTCTGATATTAAACACGTGATCCCCCCCCTCTTCGGGTCTCAGATCTTCCACATAAATGAGAAAAACAAGGCTCAGACTTGGCAAGGCTCTCATCAGTGCCTGGTCTCTGCATCAGAACATCTGGCATAGGGTGAAGACTATGGCGGTGTTTGCTGTTCCCTGATCTTTGTCCAAAGTGGGGCGTGTGAGTGCTACAGAGACGCGAAATCACACACAGCTGGACTGAGATTGGTGGGAAGAGAAAGGACAGGTAGTGTGTGTCAGAGAGATGGGCCCTATTCCAGAAGAGGTGGCACAATCATCATTGGAAAAGGAGCAGCCTGAGGTTGTCCTCTCCAGGATGCCACGTTCACAGGTAAGACAGAGGACAGTGGACTTCAGGTGCTGAGACATCTTTTCTGCGTGTGCTGGGAAGAAGGGTGGCGTGATTGGCCTAGAAAGCCAGTGGCAGTGATGCTAAGCCCAGCCTACCCTATGATGCTGGCTCTGCTTCCTGCCTTGCCAACCAATCCCTGCACAATGTGTCACCCTGGGGTCCTGCCTCCTCTCCTGGTGGCACTGAGGTCATTAAATAGAACCTGCAACATTCTGTGGACTCCAGATCGTTGCCTTTAGGAAAACCTCAAGTCCAGTTTACTTGAGGAAGGGGACTTCGCTGGCCATTCCGTGGTTAAGACTCCAAGCTCCCAAGGCAGGGGCACGGGTTTGAGCCCTGGTCAGGAAGCTAAGATTACACATGCCACATGGTTCAGGCTAAAAAAAAAAAAGAATTCACTCGAGTGAGATGCATGAATGTATGCAGCCATCCAAATGAGAGGAACAGATGTTGAAGACTCCAGAAGGACAGTCCCTTCCTTTCTCTGGACTAACTTCTCTCCTTGGAGTGGACAGCTCCTGTGACTCTTCATTACCCTTCCTTCTCCTGGAGGCAGACTTTCCTTCTTTCAGCTACCACCGCCCCACATCCACCCACCCGTGTGGTTCCAGTGGAGCTGCCCACCAGGTTCCCCACCCCCTTGACCACAGCGATGAGCAGGTGACTCGGACTGGGCCGATCAGACTTCTTCCCTGAAGTTATTCAGGTTGGAGTCAAGGCGAGAGGCTCAGTTCCATAACCTTAATGGTGGTGATGATAACACCAGCAGGATTAACGATTAACACTCCAAAATGCCAGCACTGTGTTGTACTGTCTCCTTTAATTCCTAAGAAGTAGACTAACTGATTGGGCCTTCCCTGGTAGCTCAGCTGGTAAGGAATCCACCTGCAATGCAGGAGACCCTGGCTCGATTCTTGGGTTGGGGAGATCCCCCGGAGAAGGGAAAGACTACCCACTCCAGTATTCTTGCCTGGAGAACCCCATGGACAGAGGGGCCTTGCGGGCTACAGTCCATGGGGATGGACCACAAAGAGTCAGACACGACTGAACGACTAAACGCAGCACAGATTCTATGATTATCCCATTGCTCTGAGAAGGAATCTGAGACTCAGAAAATTACGTAATTTGCCAAAATAAATGGCAGAGCAAGGATTCTGGAGTCTGACTCCAGAAACAGAATTTTCCAGTCCCTCCCTTTCCAGCTTCTCTGACCGTGAAACTGTGAACATGTTCCCATGAGAGCCAGCCTGCAGAGAGAAGCAGGTATGAACGGCGATGATAATAGCTTAGCAACATTTGAGTTCTGAGTTCTGTTTCCTTGGCCTCTTTCCCCGATCTTTTGTTTCAACCTCATGAGGCAATAAATGATCTGTTTCCCTGTGATGGTCCAAAATGAGTCTCGGTTGCTTGCACGCTGCCTTGTGATGCCAGTTCCCACCACCAACCTTTCTATCATTGCAAAATGTTTCCGTTTTATCTTCCACTTCTCCTTTCCCTGACCCCTTTCATGAGTCTACTAATAGTTCTGAAGCAGTACTGATAGTACTCTGCCTAAAATAAACATCTCCTCTATCCTGCTAAGTCTTGAACAGTTTTATCTTTCCCTCTCCCTCCATACCGTCCTGGAAAGAGCCATCACACATGTATCTTCATATTTTTGTTTCTTTTCCCTTAGCACCAGGCTCCTGCCCTTACCTTCCCGTGGAGTCCACTCAAGACCAAATGCAATGGTCTTTTCTCAGTCTTCATCCTCTTTAATCTCTCTGGAACATTTGGCCCCATTGAGTCCCTCCTCCTCGAATTCCTCTTGCTATGGTTTTCTTTATATTCCTTGATATTTTTCCTGCCCTTGTAGATAAGTGATCTAAAGGCAAAGATGGGTTCTACTTGGTCTAAAGCTCTTTCTTCACCCTCGGAAACTCCTGCTTCCTATGTGTATACACTCTAGAAACCAGGATCTTGTGCCTTTTCAGAAAATTGGTGAAATTTTGGATAATTTGGAATTACAGTGGCCACTTTGAGGAAACTTTGATTAAGATACTCTACCTTAAGGGACACTCTTGAGATGAGAGGATCCCAAACCTCTCAGAAACACTGGAACTCATTCTTTGATTGGTGTGAGGAAGCTTCTGATAGACATCATGACTCCAAACACATCTTCTCTAAAAGAATTCTTGCAGTGCAGAGATTTAAAATGTTTAGTAATGTACTTTGGCCATCTGAGCAGGTAATCTTAGCCCACCTGCCAGAAATCAAATTTGGATACAACTATTCTCTTGAGTTTTGCATTACTGTACCTGAGACATTGCTAAAATTATCAGATGAAAGCTATAAGATTTCTGTTTGTGTCTGTCTATATGTTTTTGTATATGTGCGTATGTGCATGAAAATTTTTTAAGAATTCTATTAAATTGGCTTTAAGAAAAACACGAGCTTACATGAATTAACTACTGCAAAAACTTACAATTTTAGAAACTAACACAAATGTTTTTCAGGTTCACATAATCTGGGATAATATCTGACAAAAGTTAGTTTAAGTTTGTTGATTTAATAAAACGAGCATGTCTTCAGAATTGTCAGCGTTAAATATAAAGCAAACATGCAACTTTTTCTACATGTATTTACAGGCAAGTTCACATTATCTGTTAAAAAATTAATCAACGAGAAAAATAACTTCAGATGATTACCTAACATTTAATCTGAGCACAATTGTTAAAAAGCAATTTAAATAGGTGCAAATGAGATAAAAGTTTGTACTGTTTAAATAATGGATATTCGTTGAATATCTAGATAACTTCCCAATAGAGTAATAAATTGAAACATTCATTGCTAAGCATAAATTTATCTATTTTTGGCTTCTTGACTTTGTACAAATATATTTAGACCCATTAATAAATATGTCTTTGCCATCTTGAAAAATTGGACTATAAAAATTCTTTGTCTTGTAAAAAAACTGTAAGTTTTTATCATTGTTTTTATAAACTTGCTAATTTACTATAGGATACTAATACCCAACAGACACTTCACAAAAGCATGTCTCCTCATTTTCACTGGAAAGTAAAGGTTACTAAGATTTGAAATTTATAATCAATATGTAAAACTAAAACTGCTAGAAACAAAGAGTGAAGGGAAATGGATGTGAAAGTTGGATCATAAAAAAGGCTGAGGGCCGAAGGACTGGTGCTTTCTAACTGTGGTGCTGGAGAAGACTCTTGAGAGTTCCTTGGACAGCAAGGAGATCTAACCAGTCAATCCTAAGGGAAACCGACCCTGAATATTCTTTAGAAGGACAGATGCTGAAGTTGAAGCTCCAATGCTTTGGCCACCTGATGTGAAGAGCTGATTTATTGGAAAAGACCCTGATCCTGGAAAAGACTGAAGGCAAAAGGAGAAGGGGATGGTAGAGGATGAGATGGTTCGATAGCATCACTGACTCAGTGGACATGAATTTGAGCAAACTCTGGGAGATAGTGAAGGACAGGGGAGCCTGACGTACTGCAGTCCACGGGGCTGCAGAGTCAGACAGGACTTAGCAACTCAACAACAAGAAATAAAAAGAGTGAAGAGAAACAACTCTGGGAGGAAAATAAGATGTGTTTTTGTATGAAGACTATTCAAGGATTATAGGATTTTTTTTTTTTAAGGAAAAAAGAGAGTAATTTTATCTTGAAATAAAATAAAAATTCTAGTTTTTCCAGAATAAGAAAAGGAAAAGAATAAGGCAAAACGTAAATGGATACAAAATATTGCAGGAGGTTTGAGGAAAATAAATTTTATGTTGTGAGATAAAACTGCTAAAAGTGAATAAATGTATTTAAAAGAATTTTTCAAATGAACCTGACTAATGTACTGATACAAAACTAAAGTTTAATTTTCTCTCCGCTAAAATAACAAAATATCTTAGATTATTGATCAAAGTAAAAGATTATAAAAAGCTTTTCTTTATTTTTAATGTAATCTGCCTAAGAAACAAAAAGATTTATATCCTCTATGAAAATACTTCCTACACGTCACATTGTCTTTCTTTATCAAGTCTTGGATTACTTAGAAAAACTGAGTTTTTTCAATATTAAAAGAGCTAAGAGTTTTTTTTTAAAAACTATGTAATTTTATGTATTTGCCTTTAAAATGTTTTAATTATCACTTTGGTTGAATGAATAACTAAGTATTGTTTTACAGTGACTTATGTTCCTATTTGAGCAAGTGCTTTTGACATTTTTGATAAACTGTCCAAAATCAAGTTGTAAATGAAGTCTTTGGGATTTTTCAGAGGGAACTAGAAGGTCTGAAAAGATGTGCTCTCTCTACTTTTGAAAAAAGAAATGTTAATTTATTTAAGCTTATTTGATATATTAAATTGCATGAAAAATATTATCAAATAAAAAGTGATGTTAAAAAAAAAAAAAGGAATTCCCTGGTGGTCCAGTGGTTGGGATCCAGTGCTCTCACTGTTGTGGGCCTCAGCTAGATCCTTGGCCGGGAACCAAGATCCCACAAGCCATGTGGCATAGCTGGAAAAAAAGTAAAGGTTATGTTTACAAGGGTATATAAGTAATTCAAAAATTACATAAATTTTCCAAAATTCTGCTTTATCCTGGTATAAATAATCCTGTTATCAATCATAATTCCAGCTATTATCTTGAAATACTGTATGTCGCACAATCAAATTTACTTGTCAATTGCATAATTTTTTAGAATACTACATCTTTAACCAGGACTATTTTTAATCTTGTATCATTCACAGACAGTTATTGTTTTGCTCTTGATTCTATTACATTTACAGTCAACTACAGGCAAAAGTGCTTTGTCTTCAAAGAGATTCATGGAAATGACCCTGACAGGCATTCTAGAATACAGGTTTCTTGTAATTCTAAAACCACAACACTAAACTGGGTAAATATTTCTGAAAATTCTAATGCAAGACTGATTGATTCATAAAACAGCTAATGCAAAGTCAAGCAAAATGAGAATGATTATAATTTTTATGACATAATTTAGAACATTGCTGGTTCTTTCATGTTTTATTTTCCAGAATTAAAGAACCCCTTTTCCTCTTTTTTTTTAAGTTATCTATAACTTACTGCAATTTGATACAGTATACTTTCATAAACAAAAGTTGAAACATTTACCTTTTTCACCCTGCCTGATTCCCTACAGAATTCAGAAACTCTTATCAAATATGCTCATTTTTCAGCACAACATGTGTATTTATGTAAGCCCCAAAAGAATCTATACTCTTTGTAACAGGACACAATTGTACAAGTCTTTAGCTGGCTTCTTATCCTCAAGAGATTTTTAAAGGTCTAATATGAGAGTCTTTATTACCTGACAATTTTAGGGAATTAGGATTTTCTGTACCGAACCTATAAAACCCCTTGGCTATTAACAAAACTTTGAATAGGGTGTCATTTGAGAATAAACATAGAATTACTATTCTTTCTACAATTGTATAAATAATCAAGGCAAGTTTAATAAGGTTAGACTTATTTTACAAACATGTAAATTTCACTGCAATTACTTTTAATAAAAATGTGGTGACTATTTAAAAAGCTGGCGTTTCAATAGAAAAGTATAGTGTACTTGTTATCAGCTTTTAGTCCTATTGGTTGTCTTTGATATTTTGTCATCTACCTGTAAACCTCAGAAAAACCACCACAACGAGTCATGGACAATCTTATGCTTGTTGCTGTGTGGGTCACTCAAGAGAGTTCACCAGAACACCCAATGACATCATCAAAGGCAGTCAAACTGCAAACCAGGACAATCCATCAGATTGAAACTACCATCTTCATTGCATTATTTAAAGATAATCCTAATTCAAATCTAGAAATTTTCTCAACTGCTGCTTTCCAAACTCAGAATCTGCATTTATAATTTGCTCAAGCTATTAACCTTTGTTTTTCTTTTGTTTCCATAGAAATGCTTCTTATTAAATTACCCGATTGTTTACTTCATGTAGAGGCCTAATTTAGGTGGAAGCTGACTTCTAACTCTCTCCTGGAATAAACATCCTCGTGTTCACCCTGTCCCAAGTAATCGTGAGGACTTGTGACTGCTCACACATCATGTGTTCTTATGTAAATAACGCAGAAAAAAAATGGAAACCCAATTATACATTATCAAAAGGAAACATCAATTGACTTTGATGGAGAAGGAAATGGCCACCCACTCCAGTACTCTCGCCTGGAAAATCCCATGAATGGAGGAGCCTGGGTAGGCTACAGTCCATGGGGTCACAAAGAGTTGGACACGACCGAGCAACTTCACTCACTTTAGATAAAATCTGAATCAGATTATAACTTTTCTATTTATTCAGTTGGTTCAATCTTGACTCTTGGGAATCTCTGCTCTGGGGAACTTTTCAATCCTTGCCTATTATTTCCTTATAGTCATCATATGAACCTCTCCAGTGCATTGTGTTCTCTCAAGAGTTCTAATACGCTTTGGCAGCCACTTTCATCCCAAATGGAATCTCTCAGGATCAGACAACTGGAAGAACTCAGTGATCTGACCTCTGTGTCTGTGATAGCCATGCAGCAGTGACTCACGACCATCTGCCCTGAAGACTTGAGTAACACAAACAGTGACTGTGTGATTCTTCCTTCTGGCTCTGTTAACAGCCGTAAAGTGAAAGTAATACTACACTCATTGTTCATACTCTTAGCCTACTGAAAGAAGGAACAAAGGAGGGATTTATTCAAATTAAATACACAATGGAGACTGAACTTGAAAATTCCCCAACCATACACAACCACTTAACCCACATGAGTGAAACTTAATTTAGTTTATTCAGCATAACAAGTGAAACTTAACTTGGGCCACTTCTTGTAAATGTCTGATAATCATAAAGAAAACTTAAGCCAGCCTTCCAAAAATGATAGGAGATAATCACTGTTAACCAATCCCATGCCGTTTGGAAACCCTCTTGGTAATAACCAGTCATTGTAAAAATAAACAACTTACTCACTTTCACTTTATTAGCCATCCTATAATGTCATACCCTGACCTCTGTTTATGTCCTTGAATTTAAAAGCTTTTATAAACACAATAAATTCTTACTAACTCTTTATTGGGGGTTTCTCTGGTGGCTCAGTGGTTAAAAAATCCACCTGCCAATGCAGGAGATACAAGTTCAATCTTTGGGTCAGGAAGATCTTCTGGAGGAGGAAATGGCAGCCCATTCCAATACTCTTACCTGGGAAATCCCATGGACAGAGGAGCCTGGCAGGGTATCATCCATGAGGTTGCAAGATCAGACATGACTTAGCAACCAAGCAGGTACTACCACCACCACTGTTTATTGATTTGGTGTGTTTAATTTAGTCATTTCTGGGTTTTTGACACCTGCCAATCCCATTTGTCTCCTTGCTTGCATATCCCCACTATGACCCTCAAACCGTTATCTCTGTCCCTGACCCCTCCCCTTCCAGCCTCTTTGGCCCACAGACAGCATCATCTGCATGCTCCATCAGCAATAGATTCAATATACCCCCAAATACCTGGATGGTCCTTCAGAAAAAGATAACATTGGACCCATCCCTCATGCCATACATCAGAATAAATTCCAAATGAATTACAGATTTATATTTAAAATGTGAACTCATATAAGTTTTAGAATAAAGACTAAATCTGCAAAGTTGAAAACATACACCACTTAGTAGGAGAAATCTATAATAACCTTCAGACAGATTCTGGCCAAACTATTAAACTTAGAAAATAAAAATTATATTTCACATCCAGGACAGAAAGAAATTTACTTACAAAGACAAAAATAGGTCAGGTCTCGGATGTCTTTCCAGCAGCAGTTGGTTCCAACACAAAGGAATGTCTACAAGGAAAAAGAATATGATCCAAGTGGATTCTACTCAGCCCAGGTGGAGCTTAAGTATAAAGGCAAGAGCTCACATTTTCAGACATGAAAGGACTCAGAAAATACAGCATCTATGAGCCATTTTGAAGAATCTTCTTGATGGTGAAATCTCACTCACTACAGGATGAATTGAAATAAAATGCCCTGTTATTCTGAAGTCATAGAAATGGGTCAGGTGGGGAGCACAGAATCCACTTAGACACAGGAACACTGCTAAACCTCTGAGATAATTATGGTTTCAGAATGCAGAAGCAATTGTTGTAACTCTGATAAATCTGACAAAGTTAAAAGAATAAAAGTATCAAAATTGGGAGAAAGGAGAGACCAGGTGGAAGGATATTGCTGCTCATTCCCTAAGTCGTGTCTGACTCTGCAACCCCATAGACTGCAGCACGCCAGGCTATTTGTTAATCCATTACCTTTCCTAGCAAATCATCAACCAATCCTATGTGGAACCTATCTTTCATTTCTTAAAAGCTTGCAATGACTTCAATTTCTTAAAAATCCTTACCCTTACTGGCATCTTTTAGGAACCTATTTACCTTGTAGGGAAGAAAAAATTATCTGAAGTAGTCAAGCTAAGCATTTGTTTCTATTAAATTCATTTAAAATTGAATGCAGTATTTATTTTTTGAAATATGTCACGTGTGGAATGATATCATCCTTACACAATTGTTTTCACCTCCCTACCTTTGTCTCCATCTCTGTCTTCATCTAGGTCCGTCTTTCTACATACAGACAGACAGCTGTCTGGAACGAAGTCAACCAAGTGTTATCAGTTTCTTTTTTAAAGTTTATTGAAGTATAGTTGCTTTGTACATGAAAGTGAAAGTCGCCCAGTCATGTCCAGTGCTTTGCGACCCCATGGGCTGGAGCCTGTCAGTCTCCTCTGTCATGGAATTCTCCAGGCAAGAATACTGGAGTGGGTAACATATTCCTCTCCAGAGGAACTTCCCAACCCAGGAATTGAACCGGGGTCTCCTGCATTGCAGGCGATTCTTCACATGCTGAGCCACCAGGGAAGCCCATACATCTACATATATCCGCTCTTTTTTGGATTTCCTTCACATTTAGGTCATCACAGAGCATTGGGTAGAGTTCTCTGTTCTATACAGAAGGTTCTCAGTTAACTAGTTTATACCTAGTAGCGTATATGCCCAGGACTGGATTGCTGGGTCATATGGTAGTTCTGTTTGTAGTTTTTAAGGATCCTCTGTACTGTTCTCCCTGGTGGTTGTGCCAATTTGCATTCTCACTGGCACTGTAAGAGGGTTCCCTTTTCCCCACACCCTCTCCAGCATTTATTGTTTGTAGATTTTTTGATGATGGCCATTCTGATGGGTGTGAGGTGGTACCTCATGGTAGTTTTGATTTGTGTTTCTCAAATAATCAGTGATGATGAGCATCTTTTCATGCCTCTTGGCCATCTTCTTAGGAGAAATGTCTATTTAGGTCTTCTACCCATTTTTTTGACTGCCTTGTTTGTTTTCTGATATTGAGCTGCATGAGCTGTTTGTATGTTTTGGAGATTAATCCCTTGTCAGTTGCTTCATTTACAAATATTTTCCCCATTCTGAAGGTTCTCTTCATTTTGTCTATGGTCTCCTTTGCCATGCAAAAACTTTTAATTTTATCATCAGTTATTTTTAGATAAGTATTCCCAGACGGTGCTCACCAGCAATAAAGAAGCTGCCTGAATGCAGGAGACACAAGAGGCACGGGTTAGATACCTGGTAAGAAAGATCTCCTGGCGAAGGAAATGGCAACCCACTCCAGTATTCTGGAAAAGAAAAGGCAAAGAACAGACGAGCCGGCTACACTCCATCGGCACAAAGAGTCGGACAAGACCAAGAAACTGAGCACACATGCACAGTTGTTTCTTCCTTATAGTTTTCTGTATTTTTAATATTTTTAATAATAAGCATGTGTAGATTATGTTAAAATATGACATACCTAAAGAAAATAAAGGGTTGAACAAAGAGATACCAAACAGAGGCATTCAAAAAGAAAACAGATAGATACAGATACTAACATCAGACAAAGTAGAATTTAAATCAAAAGTATCCAAGTTATAAGAAACATTATATGTGGTAAAAGGTACAGTGTGAAGACAAAAGACCAACTATAAGTTGATATTCCCAATAGTAAAGTTGCAAGACGCATAAAACAAAAACTACCAGAATATGAGGACTTAATTTAAATCACATATGCACACTATATATATATATATATATATATAAATCCTTGAATACACTTCTTCTGAATTTGACAGATCTAGTAAAACAGAAATAAATTACATAATCTGAATATTACAATCAACAAGCTGAATCTGGTATATACATGGACTTCAGTGTCCTACTAATAAACAATAAGCATTATTTTATTTGGCTCTTGGAATCTTTTTAAAAGTTGATCATGCATTTGACTCCAAAGAAAACCTATCAATGAAATATAAAAAGTGGAAATTTACAAGACAAATTTCCTGAGAATAGGGCAATAAAATTAAAAATACAAGATAAAAGCACACCTTCAAAAGCCTTAAGTACTTAGAATTAAGAAGCACTCTTCCTGAATAGGGCTTCCCTGGTAGCTCAGCTGGTGAAGAATCCACCTGCAATGCAGGAGACCCCAGTTCAATTCCTGGGTGGGAAAGATCACCTGGAGAAGAGATAGGCTACCCACTCTAGTATTCTTGCCTGGGAAATCCCATGGACAGAGGAGCCTGGCAGGCTGTGGTCCATAGGGTCGCAAAGAGTTGGACACACTGAGGGACTAAGCATACACACGCACTGTCTGAATAGAAGAATTCAAACTTTAAATTGTCTAGAAAACAATGGAAAGAAGAAATACATGGACGAATGAACAAACACTTGAAAGAACTAGGAAGAAAGGAAGGAGAAAGAGAGAAAAGAAGGGGGGAAGAGAAGAATTCCCAGAACTACATATGTTTGGTTATTTAAAAGAGCCATCAGTTTAATGCCAGTTAATAAAATCACACGAGGAGACAGTAGGTCTAGACTCTAGTATCATCCTGGCAAGTCCCTTCTTTCTCTGAACCTCAGGCTTCTAAATCCAAACTCATGGATTCAACACCATGATCTCTAGGGTTCTCCTGCTCTGTTTCATTTGGCTCATAAATATGCTTACATACTGGGACATTTGACATGAAAATCCAATTTCTGCCTTAAAAAAAGAAAAAGCAGAACCAGAGGCCTCGCTGACACTCTGGCTCTGGCTTGAGGCCACCCCTTTAGAAGGGGGCCACTTGGTCCACCAGATCCCCAGGATCAGCCTTCCCCTATCGCTTTGGGATTTCCAGCCCCAGCACAGAAGGAAGACCTGCAGAGCATCAGTTGTCACCCCCTCCAGAGAAAACCTGAAACTCACATGCTTTTTCCTCTTTCGTCTCCCCCTTGGAGTGAATACTGAGCCCAGGGGAAAGCAAAACCTAAAAGTGCTTTTCAAAAGTAAATTCACATCTTCATTCTTTGTAAAAATTTCCATCCAGACACAGTTTAAATAAAGCCTATTTCCAAGAAACAGGATGAAAAGCTGGAGAAACTCTCCCTGCCTCCAGATGCACAAGTTCTGGTCACAGGCACCCACCTTCTCCTTGCTGGTCTGAGTCACCAGTGGGAAACACCATCTGGAAGGGGACTTCGTGGTTTGACCGAGCTGCATGTGTAAACTTTCTGGGGAAAAAAAAAAAAAAATCAGGGGAGAGGAGTGGGAGGAATAGACAAATGCTCCAAAAAGCGATACTGAAAATTCACATAAGCAACTCTATGTGGTCTTGTCAGGGCAGCCTCAGCCAGAAAGCCTCTTCCAGATTCAAAGCGGGTTGTTCCTCAGTATTTAAATGCCTTACTTTTCCTTTTTCCTCTAAGCAGGCTAAAATTTCCTTGGCATTCCCAACTACCATGGAAAGGCCTGCTTTCCTTGTGGCTATGCCCTGGGCATCTAGTTCAGCCAGGGACCTGGTAGGGGAGCCAAGGACCTGGGGCTGTGGTCACAGAGGTGTGTGAAGATGGGTGGGAACAAGCTGATCTCTCAGACTTGATAAGTGAGAAAAGCTAACCCCATATCCCACCATCCAGAAAACTACCGTGACCATCTTCCTAAAACTTTCTGTCAGTCCATATATTGTAGGGGTAGAACAGTACACCTTCTGTAATCATCTATCTCCAGGATGCAGCTTGAGATAAGGGATCTTGCGATCTTCCACTCAGCAATATCTGGTGAATATGTCTCAATAAAAAGAATATGTAAATAAATATCTGCCTAAACAGTGGCCTGGAACACAGGCACAATTTAAATAATTGGCTTCCTGTTAAGGTGTATCTGTTTACAATCCTAGGCCTAGGTCTAGACTCTAGTATCATCCTGGCAAGTCCCTTCTTTCTCTGAACCTCAGGCTTCTAAATCCAAACTCATGGATTCAACACCATGATCTCTAGGGTTCTCCTGCTCTGTTTCATTTGGCTCATAAATATGCTTACATACTGGGACATTTGACATGAAAATCCAATTTCTGCCTTAAAAAAAGAAAAAGCAGAACCAGAGGCCTCGCTGACACTCTGGCTCTGGCTTGAGGCCACCCCTTTAGAAGGGGGCCACTTGGTCCACCAGATCCCCAGGATCAGCCTTCCCCTATCGCTTTGGGATTTCCAGCCCCAGCACAGAAGGAAGACCTGCAGAGCATCAGTTGTCACCCCCTCCAGAGAAAACCTGAAACTCACATGCTTTTTCCTCTTTCGTCTCCCCCTTGGAGTGAATACTGAGCCCAGGGGAAAGCAAAACCTAAAAGTGCTTTTCAAAAGTAAATTCACATCTTCATTCTTTGTAAAAATTTCCATCCAGACACAGTTTAAATAAAGCCTATTTCCAAGAAACAGGATGAAAAGCTGGAGAAACTCTCCCTGCCTCCAGATGCACAAGTTCTGGTCACAGGCACCCACCTTCTCCTTGCTGGTCTGAGTCACCAGTGGGAAACACCATCTGGAAGGGGACTTCGTGGTTTGACCGAGCTGCATGTGTAAACTTTCTGGGGAAAAAAAAAAAAAAATCAGGGGAGAGGAGTGGGAGGAATAGACAAATGCTCCAAAAAGCGATACTGAAAATTCACATAAGCAACTCTATGTGGTCTTGTCAGGGCAGCCTCAGCCAGAAAGCCTCTTCCAGATTCAAAGCGGGTTGTTCCTCAGTATTTAAATGCCTTACTTTTCCTTTTTCCTCTAAGCAGGCTAAAATTTCCTTGGCATTCCCAACTACCATGGAAAGGCCTGCTTTCCTTGTGGCTATGCCCTGGGCATCTAGTTCA